TCTAAGATCTTAAATAGATATACGAACCAGAACTCTGAGGGCAGCTTCATTAAGCTGCCAACGGCGGCAAGAACCTCCCCCGGAAACCCCGAAAATCTGTGTGTCTTATACACTGAATACAGCATTTTTGGCCTCCTGAAACCCCGCCCCTTCACCAAAATGGTTGTGCATAGCCTTTAGGAGCCTTGCAGAGTGCTCCCGGGAGCTGGGGAAGGCAGAAATGAATGAAAAACGGGCCGTTTTTTGCTCATTTTTGCCCCTCCCCCCCAGAACACTCTACAAGCCTCCTAAAGGCTATTCGTGCCCTTTTTTGAAAACAAATTGACATATTTTTTGTGAAAAACAGGCCGTTTTTGTGAGGTCCACAGGATGCAATAACTTTTTTTTTTAATTTGCCTCTTCAAACCCTTGGTGCATCTTATTTTCTGAAAAATATGTTATATTGCATTATATTTCCCTTTCAGTCATGATCCAAATAAGAAAGAATGTATACATTTCTAATTTTCAACATAGACTCTTAAAGAAAATAAAGGGAATGAAGTTCTTTTGCCTCAAAAAGTGAACTTTGTAAAAAGGGATAAAGAAAAAAAGGCATAGAACAGAACAAGAAATTGAATATAGTTTAGCTCTCAATATTAAGCAATAAAAACTTGTTGGTGTTCATACCATGAGCATTAATATATATAGTAGACAATGTAGCCATGAAGGCCACTAGCCAATGTTATACTATGTACAACTCTTTAGGTGACATCCAACATTTATAGGATTCGATTTAAAATACTAAATGCTAAATCCATTCTTACTAATCGTCATGAGGTTTTATACATCTCATGTCAACTATTTACCTTCCAGCTAACTCAGCCATGATAATAAAGTTCTCCCCTATATTTCTGTTTCCCTTACTTTATCCCATTATTATTCCCTTACTTATCCTCCAATTGAAAATGATCAAATCACTTGAAACTCTAGACTGCTGAAAGTCTGTGACTTTTATTTGATCTTACATGCATCAATAGGAATTAACAGTAGGAGTTACCACATTGCTAATCCTTGGTCCTGTAAAATGCGTTTCATGAGCCAAGTCTCCAGCTTGTATTAGTACACCTATTATATATGTTTACAAGCTGAAACATTGGGCAATATGATCTATATACTATTACAGCTTTGGTTGTCATGACATTTCACTAGGATAAATAATGCATTAGGATTACAATTTTTAAACCTTAATGGATTAATTTATAGAATGCGTCCAAAATCTGAGACCTACGGCACCCAATATATTTTTTTGGGAAGAGGTTGTGAATCCTTCAGCACCATTGACTGTTGCTGGAATGTTACTGCAGTCATGTGATCATTCTGTGACAATTTATTAGCCAATCTCACTATCCTTCACTATTCCCCCATTCAGCAGCAGCTACTTACCTCCCTGTTGTGCTGATCAAGAAAGGGAAGAAAGGAACCCTTCCAGGTCAATGTCATACTCCTTATGCTTCCTTATCTATGCTGCCTCCCATACATCTTCCTTAACCTGCACTACCACCAGCATATCGTCTGCAATTCTTGCAGCACATGTTGTATACGACATGCATCACCCCTGACTCACATGAATCCCTGGCATAACTTTCATAACCCATGCAGGACTTCTTGTGCACCCCACAAGAAGTTGGGATTTTCTTTCCTGCTTTCCTAGTTTTTAATTTAAAAAATTATGAACAAATTGAAAAAGTCAATGATTTTACCTTCTGTTTCTCTCACCACATTTTCAGCAAGAAAAAAAAAACCTCCATCTTCTTGGATATACAATTCACAGTTGAGGAAGAAATAATTAAACAATTGCCATTTTTATATGTGCTTGTCAACAGATGAGAAGATGGAAGTTCAGAAACCAAAGTGTATTGTAAGGCTCCATGCACTCTTAGCTTCAACAGTAACCATTAACTGTCTCATGAAAAGAGTTGGATCAGAATACTATATAGCAGGTTGAGAACACACTGTAGTATCCAGCAAGGAAAACAATTGGAGAGGAGGTTCCTACATGAACAATTCAGGCAGAATGGATACCCACAAGATGCTTGCATAATATTCAGGGAGAGAAAGGAAGAAAGAAGGTACAAGACCAACTATATGGCACAACCTGTCATATATTAAGAACATTTCAGAAACAGTACAACACAACTTTGAGATCTGCAAGTGGGCATCATGAGGACAAGTCATGCACTACAAATATTATTTGGAGGTGAGAGAAACTTCAAATGTAAGTTATCAGATTCCTTGTATGGCTTGCCCATTTGACCACATAGGACAAATCTGGAGGAGGTTACCCACCAGTTTGCAAGTACACGAATGAGAGGTTAGACGGGGAGACCCAAACTCATTGATAGCCTCACACTGCAATGAATAAGGACATGTATTCAATTTTGCAGCTGCTATGATTGTTAGCAAAAGCAGTTAGACTTATATACCGCTTCATAGGGCTTTCAGCCCTCTCTAAGCGGTTTACAGAGTCAGCATATTGCCCCCACAGTCTGGNATTCCTATGGCATAAATATTATGAAAGCAAGTTGTTTCGTTCATATTTTTTTTCTCATGCTGCAAAATACTGTGAATATTAGTCAGTACATGATATGTACTTGAAATACATACTAATGAAAATACTAATGAAGGACAACAATTTGATGACTATTCAAACTGTCTTTTCACTTGCTAATAATTAATTGCATAGTAATATAACAGAAGTAGATTTGGAAGGGTCTAGGACAACTCGCCCTAGCTGATTCACGCCAGCATCTTGCTCTGGTTGACTCACCCCAGGAGCACTCACTGTGGGACAATTCAATGGATAACTCAAGAAAGGAACAAATGAATTGCAGAAGGCCTTGTTTTGCTTTACATTTGAAGCTTCTGAAGGCTGAGGTGAGCTGCAATCCTACTTGCCTCTCTCTTGAGTTACCAGCATTGAATTGTCCCATGGCAAGTTGGCTACAGCAAATTGGCTAGGGCAAGTTGTCCCAATCCAGATTTGGAATATTATCAATATTACTACTTATCTTTTTTTCAATATATAGGACACTGGATCAGATCTCTTTCATTGGAAAATACGCACAATAATTTTAAAAAGTTATGTAAGTTATGATTCAAATCTTTATGGAATAGTATTATAACCAATGTGCCCTAGAATATATGTGTGCATTTCTTTATAATTCATTTCACTTGCACGTAAGATCAAATTCATGCTAGCCATTTTTAATTTAGAATAATATCAATAGTTCTTCCCTCTCAATTTATTTCTGCCACAAGCAAGTGGATCAATTCCACATTTTGTACAGAGACTCCCACTAGAAAATAAAGTTGAAGTTTCAGTTTAACTAGAATAAATTGAAGGAACATCTTGCTTACAAAAAAGTATATGAGAAAATGCAAACATATTGTAAGATAGGAATCCTGATCACCCTATTATGGCTCACTGGATGATGGACTCATTTTATTTGAAAAGAACCTCAAAATCAATAAAACAATTTTAAGTTTAATACATTCCATAGTTGCTTCATTTCACCAGTTTTTGTTTAAAATGCACTGTAATTACTTCTCCAGGACCAAGATCTGTACAATTTAAATGTTAAATAGTTAAAAATGCTAACCACTAAGAGATAAAAATGTATAAAGATTTCTAGTGTAATAATACGTGTAACAACACCAATTCTAGCAATATCTTATAAATGTAATTCTGGCAAATATATTGTTATTTATAATTAATGGACAAATAATTCAACTTACCAAACAATAGTCATAATGAATTAGAAATAGGCGGAACACTAGGTCCTTATAATGGTTGTTGTTACAAAGACAGATACATAAAAGTTTAGCTGCTTTGGCAGTATAGTGAGTTTCCAAAGTCATGAATTATAGAAGTGTTAAGTCATGAGAAAATTAATTGTTTAAAAGAATTAAAATTCTAATGATTTCTATGGAAATTCTCAGTCATCCAACTCATGGTGGTCCCAAACATTCTTTTTCAATAGGTAACTGGCTTTTGTTTTCCTTGACGACATTTTACTTCTTATCTAAGAAGCTTCTTCAGTTCTGTCAGAAACTGAAAAAGTACTTTTGGGACAATTCTAATTACATTATTATAATTAGACTGCATCTTAGAAATACTTGTTAATGTACGTCTAAACTCAATGGGATTTGCCTTGGAATACACTTGGACAGGAATGTACTTTGCGGCATATATTTAATTCTACAACTGAAACTACCATGTTTCCCCGAAAATAAGACCTTATTTTTAGGGAGGGCTTATTATTTTTGAGGTGCAGGAGACGGCAAGCGTAGTCACCTCAGGGCTGCTGCTGTATTGCAATATTTTCGGGGAGGGCTTATTTTAACCCATGTGCTCAAAAGCCCATTGGACTTATTATTGGGGAGGTTTTATTTTCAGGGAAACAGAGCAGTAAAATGTTTAACGAATCTTGCATCATGCTTAAGGATTAATAAAGTGAAATTAACATAACTGTAATTGAATGATGTGATCAAAACAAATAAGTCAAAGTAATTGTGTTAATGTAATCTAAGATTTACCTCTGCTATAGTTACACATTCTGGATGCAAAATATGTATCATGTAGTTTGCCATCATTAGGTAGGCCACTGCATCTTCATCAACATGCATACCAAAATATTCATTGTAATCTCCACTAAAGCCTTCACCTAATATGATAAATAATAACAGTATCAAGTACTATAAGTGCAAGTTATAGGATTTACTGTAGATTTTCAGATGAAACTTTTTATTATTTGAACTGTAGTATAGTCACTGATAAACAAATTAAACTTACTAATTCCATGATGGTGATATAGCATAGATGATACACCATCAAATCGAAACCCATCAAAGGCATACTCTTCTATCCACCATCTTAAATTGGAGAGAAGAAATCTCAGAACTTCCCAGCTGAAATATAAATAACATATCCCAAGTATTAATGTACAACATTAATCTACTCCTAGTGTTTCTATATTCACAATTTTATCAAGTTTTTGATAAAAGTATAAGACCAGTATAAGACTAATTTTCATTGTTTACTACATTTATAAATATATATATTTTTGGTCCAATAAGATTCAGGCAATACATGCATGATTCTCCCCCATAGGACCTGCAATGGAAAAAGACTGAATTGGCTATAAAAAAGACCCATGGTAAATGAAGTTAATATCATTAAGGGAAAGGGAATCATTTATGCACATGTACATATAATTTTATTTTTGATGTTAAAAATATCCACACAAACTTTCACAAACTTCATACCTTACTATAAATTACTGAACAACTGAACAAAGAACAATCAATCTGTATGGATGTATTTCTCTCCAAACAACATCCTGCATAGATCTTCCTTCAAAGATCTTCCTTCAGATATAGATCTTTTGCAGATTTTAAATAGTAATCTGAGGATTTGAAAGCTATGGATAATACAAAATGTTTTCAAATTTCTGAAGTTGCTATCACTACAATGATATATTAAAAAACTATTTTTTTAAAAATTCTGGATAACTTGTTTCAGATATTTATTTCTCAAAATACTTCCGTAAATTACATGAATAAAAAGTTAGCAAATATATTTTCTAATGTTTGCTGTAAATAAACATAAATTCATAAATACATAGACATTTAATTTACAACAAATATTTGACAAAATTAAGTAAAAAGTGATATTCTTGTGAATTGGTCTAAACTATGGACAACATATTTTTCCCCAAAGGTTGTTTTAAAACTCTCAAATTTGTACAAAAAAAGAGTTTTAACTGAAACTAAAAAATAGTTTTATATTTAACAAAATTTACAAAACCTGAACCATACTCTGTGTCTTAAGGTCAAACTTTATGCCATTTTACTACCTGGCTTTATACAGAAAATAGAGTTCAAATAAAAATTGAATCCTTTTCTAGAATGCACAAGAAAAGTCAGATGTATGTATTAGTAGTAGTATTATCTTTTTTAATTTCTTCCATCTGTAAAGATCCACAAAATCCCATTTTGATATATGTGCATAATACAGTTCTTTCCTTAAACATAACAGCTCTTTTTAGAAAACGAATCTGGAAAGCATAATTGGTACACGGGTAGCAGAAGAATAACAAACACATTATTCTAAATGCATGGTTGTACGCTTGAATAAACCACTTAGACAGATTTCCCACTAGCAGACAGTTAAAATTTCAGTTCTCTAATATTATACCATGAATATGTAGAATTGTATTTCCATAGGCAGACTATGTTCAAAGTCTATGTGGACAAATTTGTATGCGTAATATCGGTATAATGGATTCCAGAGATTCAGGGACTTAGATAATATGTTTTTTTAAGATGCCACACAACAATTGTATCAGAGGTCTGAACATTCTCCCAAGGGCTTCAGCAGCATTTTTTATCAAGAGGAAATATGGTGACATTTACAAATTAATATTAAAATACTGAGAAAAATGGTTTTAAACGCTGGGACAATCCGTACCTATTTTGTATTACCAAGAATACTTGATATCAGGAGGATGAGTATACATTTCCAAAAGAAGAGTAAATTTAGTATTCCACCTGGGACAGGTATAGAACACAGAACCACTCTAGAGATATGATTATGAATTTGGATGTGACAACTCACATTTTTACAGGGGAAATAATGCATCAATATCAATCCTGGTACGTGATCTTATCTAAAAAATATCCGATAAGAATTTGATAGAACCTGCCTTTCCAACTCATGACTATTGGTTCTTAAAATGGTATATAATCCGGGCTTCCACTAATAATTTTGAATATATGTGCCTATTAGTGCAACAACTGAACCTTTACCTTGTTATTTATACTTGTACAAAGTATATGCTAGCAAGTAAGTCTAACATTACATTTATGATTTTTTATAATTCTTGTGTATTGCGCCTTTTGCTTTTTCTGTTATTTCAAAAGCAATAAAATTATACACATCCACACAAACATATCTATACATACGAGAGAGAGGGTGAGAGAGGGAGGAAGGGAGGGAGAGAAAGAGAGAGAGAGAGAGACAGACAGACAGACAGACAGACAGACACTTAGCAGTCAAGTTGATGACTGTGGGCTAGTCATTCTCTCTTAGTTCTAGGAAATAAACAAATCTCTATTGAACATATTGAAAACTATATGGATTTGTCCACATAGTTGCCAGTAATCAAGGTTGACCTACAAGAAAAAATAAAACAAAACAACCCCACAAAGAACCCAACCCAACCCACATTATGGGGCAAATTACCGTATTTTTCAGAGTATAAGATGCACATTTTTCCCTCAAAAAAGAGGCTGAAAATCTGT